GAGAATCTGTAAATAAGGAAAACAGCTTCCAGAAACACTTGGTAGGGAGCCAGAAGCCTTTTAATGGGTGCCCCTGAGCTTCTGGCACTTTGATTGTGGTTTGGGTAAGGCTGAGCAGCGAGTTGAACGTGATTATGGAATGTGATTTAAATTTTCACTTGAAGCATCGGTGTAAATATGCATCACTAACAATGGGGCATTATTGGCACTGTGGGGCATGAACATTCTGAGCTTGCAGGACAGTTGGCATCCTTAACACCTCCCCTTGGTCCAGCTACTAAATTCCAGACATGGGACACCCCCATCTAGGGTGAGGTGAGTGAAACACTAATCTAGGGCTCAAAATTGGCAAGGACACCAGCAAAACTCAGAAATTAAGATAAATAATGTAACAATATGTTTAGAAAAATCAGATCAACAAACTATAGCCAATGGAGTGGTCACCTGTTTTCATGAAAAGAAATGTGGCTGGAGTCAGGGCTGGGCTTCGTGTGAGGGGCGTGAAGTAGCACAAACGTTGGGTCAGATCTGGTCTTTAATTACAATATATTTTTTTTACAATTTTGATATTCTGTCCATAATGGACATTAGTTTTGATTTTGTAAAACACTGCATTAAAATATTATTAATCTCGGAGGGGAGGGAATAGTTCAGTGGTAGAGTGCATGCTTAGCATGCATGAGGTCCAGGGTTCAGTCCCTAGTCCCTCCACTGAAGTAAACAAACAAACAAACAAACAAAAAAACCTAATTACCTCCCCCCAAAATAAAAAAATTTTAAAAATATTATTAATCTTGATTTCTGAATTTTTGGCACCTCCCCTTGAATTCTGTGCCTTTGGTGAGAGTCTCACTTCCTTCACCCTAGTCCTGGCTCTACCAGAAATGCACCATTTCCTAACCACCTGGTTTGGGAAGCACTGGGAGTCATATAATTTTCAGCAAGTACGAGTGGTTCCCCTAACGGTGCCATTTTATAGATCAGGAAACAGGCCAAGAGAGGTCTTCCTCTCCCCTTACTCACCTGCTGGAGCATCCTCAGCCTCAAAAAATGCTCAGGCTAGAAGAGAGGTCCAGACAGAAACAGAAGAGGAAGAGGCAGGTCCTTGGCACCCACCTGGATGCAGTGGGCACATGAACCTAGCTTCAGGAGGGAACAAAGGGATGGCAAAGGGAGAATGAAATAGGTGAGCAGCCAGGCCTTGGCCAAGAAAGGATGTGAGTGGCCTCCTGCCCTCCACCCTCAGGAGGAATTCCTACAGTCCTTGGGTCCATGTGTGTTAAGCACCTGCAATGTGGTAGGCATATGCTAAGCAATGGAGACACAAATGAAATACCTAGGCTGCTGCTAGTCTGATGGAGAATTTACACATGAAACAAGGTGGGTGCCAGGAGGGACACAGGCAGAAGGTGTTCTCTTGAGGAGATAGGAGGGAATCCCACCTGGCTTTGGGAGAGGAGGGTTCAAGAGTGGCTTCCTGGGATACAGCGCATCTTAGCTGAGTTTTAAGGGCTGAGCAGGAGAAAGTAATAAGTAATGAGGAGTAAGGAAGGGGTGAGGGTGGAAGTGTGGTCCCAGCAAAGGCCAGGAGGTGAGTTGCTTTGAGGGGCTAGAATGGGTGGGTGCGGGTGGTGAAGGACATGAGAACTACTGGAGACTGATGTTTGTGGCAAGGAGCTGAAACGGGTTGGGGTGGGGATGAGTGTGGGATCCAGCCACCAGGGAAGACTGGAGATGGTCCACCTCTCCGTAGCTGGTGAGATCTGGTCAAGGTTGCCACTAGGTTCCTTCTTCACAGGAAAACTACAGAGCTGAGTATGCACTGTCTTGGGTGAGATGCTCCTGATGGCCACCGGAACCCACTGCGTGCCAGGCACTCCCAATGCCAGAGACTCCCACAAACATCCTCTCCTTTCCACCCCCAGCCTGGGCACACCCCTCTTTTGGCAGAGGGAAGGGTGGAGGCTCCTTCCCAAGGCTCTTCCCATCTGGTCCTGCTTCCAGCTCTCCCCTCACCTGTGGGAAGATGAGACGGATGGAAACGGTTGCTTCCGCCAGCATCTTTCGGCTCCTGCTTTGACTCTCCTGAGTTTGGGTCAAATTTGCAGTAACATCCAGGAAACACCACCTGTGGCTTTGGCTGGGTTGCCACTTGCCCCCCACGTCTAGAGGGAATCAGGGAAAGAGTCAAAGACAAAACAGAGCTATAGGAAACATTTGCAGGATGTAATATGCAGCCAGTGAACAAGTCATTTTTGCATTTTGAAAGTAACTTTGGAAAATGCAACGATATGATATTGGTGAAAACGCTCAGTATCTTCTAGCTATCTACATCTTCAGCTGACCCATAGCTCTGTCTGTATAAGAGATGAAGATTGCAAGGAAATTCTCAGGAGAGGTTATCTCTGGGTGGAGGTGGTAGGATTATGGTAGGAATATTTTTTTGTTTCTACATTGTGTAAATTTTCTATAATGAATGTGTTATAGGAGAGGTGGTGTAGCCTAGTGATTGAAAAAGCAGACTGTCTGGGTTTGAATCCTGGCTCCCCAGTTTACGCACTTTCATGATCTTGGGCAAAGCACTTAACCTCTAGTCCTCAGTTTCCGCCTGCACACAATGGGGAGAATTGATACCTATAATAGGGTTGTTATGAGAAGTAAAGGAGCTCACATTTGCCATGAACGTTTCATTTGCCATGAACAGTGACCGGCACATAGTAGGCACTATGTGTTTGTGAAATAAAAGCAGAAGTACCTTTATAGAAAATACAGATTCATTTAAAATGTATCCAAGTAATATAGGAATACAATCTTCTTGTAAGGAATAACAGCAAATTTTTTTAGTGAAATAATCCTTGGGGACCAGTTAATTTACAGCCTGTTTGGATTCACATTTAAAACAAAAAAAAGCATTCATTGAGTGCAAAAGCAGGAGCAGGAAGGCATGAGAAGTGTGTGGGTTGCATTCCAGGGGCAAGTCCCCTCCCTGCTCTCTCCATGTGGGAAGGGAAGGCTTCACTGATGTGGATGATTCAAGGGCACCGCCTGATCCTGCACCCCCGAGGCTCCCTCTATGATATTTCCCCCCAGGAGGCACCTGCTGAGCCAGGAACCCTGACATTTTGGTTTGCTGACCAGCCTCACCGCTATACAGGCCGACTTGCCATTTGGCTTTTTGAAATACTAGGAAGTATTTGAAGGGGAGGGTAAGGGCTCAGTGCGAGAGCACATGCTTAGCACGCATGAGGTCCTGGGGTCTAACCCCTCCATTGAAAAAGAAAAGGCGTTTGAGGATTCCCAGGACCACCACTGGGGATCCCTAGGGGCCTACAAACTTCAAATGAGGAACCGTTTAAGCCAATAACATGCCTCTGATGTTGATATGGATTTCACACCGTGTGCCTGAGGGTGTCACGGTTCCAGTATCATACGCCACCCAAAAACTAAGTGCCCTTCAGAGCTGAGAGTAGCTGGCGAGAGTAGACTCCCTCACTGTCAGCTCCCCGACAGGGAAGAACTCATGTCTATGAAGCTGGCCCCTGCTGTCTCCTTAGGTCTTGAATCTACCTTCTCAGCATCTCTTGACCTTGGCCCATAGATTCAGAAGCCTCCAGCCCCCTTGACCAGGAAGAATAATCAGGGGGTAGGGAGGCAAGATTTAGGCATTTTGGGGTACAGGCTTTCTCCTAGATATTGGGGAAAGGTTTAGATTTCATTCCTATCCCTTAACACCAGTAGCAGCTCGTGAGAAATGAAAGTGATTGGACTGGTGCTGAGCGAAGCTTCTAGGCAGGAAGGTTAACAATAGTTGCAGCTCAGGCTCAGAGGAGCCAAAGGGCACCCTGTGCCCACCAGGCTGTCAGAGTACCCCCTTACACCCGCCGAGCATCCAGCTCCGCCAGGCTCCACAGTGACGGCCCCCTAAGGAGAAACTGGGGTCACTAATGTCTCCAAGAACAGGCCAGGTGGGGATGGAATTCAGGCACACCCTGGTTCTGGACTCCGTTGCCCTAGGGATTTCTCCCCTGTGACTTGGATCATTTCCTCTTCAGAGCGAATCATTAACCATACCGAGGGCCCCCGCATGAGAAGCCACAGGAACGAGTGGCTGGTTGAGGCTGGAAATGCCCAGGTTGCTACCCCAGAGGGGCCAAATCCCCAGTCACGCTCCTGCCAGGGTCGCAGGGCAGGGTCCCAGACAGGGTCCAGCCTCTCTCGCCACTTCCACAATCCTGTTGGGCAGGTCAGGTGGCAGAGTCTGGATGTGAATGGGGAAAACAGCTTTCAGGAACACTAGGGAGGGTGTGGAGTGGCTCTCCACCAGGTCAGCCCCAATTCCATACCTGCTCCAGGCTGTCAAACACCAACTGTGTGAGAAATTGCTGGGCAGCTGCACCAGCCCCACCTGGACTTACGCCCTCAGCCTTTTTGGGGGAGGGGGACTCTGAGATAATCCTGGATTCCTTGGCTTAATTTCCCAGCCCCCAATTAAGCCAGTAACTCAGACAGAACACCTCTACCCCAAGGAGTCAGGTGTCACCTTGCAGTCTGGCCACCTGCAGGGGAGGAGCCTGAGAGAAGCCACCTGGTTCAAATCCTGCCCATTCTCAGGCAACAAGGTTTTTGGGGACAGATCCCTGGGACCCTGGGGTTGAGTCGCCAAGACTAGCCTGAAGAACCAAGGCCAGGGACCTCTGGTGGGGTCTGGGGGCTCAGGGGCGGGGGAGGCCGTGCACCCTGGTCAGGAACCTCCTCTCTGGAGGCCACAGGGCTGTCCTTGTGGTGGACAGAGGTCACTTGGGGACAAAGGGGCCCACCTGTTTCCTGGGATTCCCCAGGTCCTCCCGGGACCACCGGGCGCCGCAGGTGAAGTCCAGGCAACAGGTCGGGAGGCAGGATCGCCGCCCATCCCTCAACCCCGGGCCAGGGGTCCACCCTCCTCGGCGCGCCCCTCTCCGCGGGCCCAGCCAGCGCTAGAGTCCAGCTTTATTCACCGCCGCCTACGCCTCCGCCTCCGGGCGCTGCTTGAGCGTGACCGAGGCGCCGCTGCTGACCATGACCGCGGGGTAGAGCGGCTCCAGGAAGGCGGCGAGGAAGCGGTAGATGAGGCTCACGCCGCCCGCCACGCCGTAGAAGGAGAGGCAGCCGGCGCCGCAGTCGAGCGCCACGCCGAGCGTGCGGTGGTAGCCGCCGTGCAGCACTGTCTGCGTGTTATTGTGCCACACGGAGAACTTGAGCGAGTCCCACTCAAGGCACCACGAGTAGGGGTTGCGGCCCAGCAGGTAGACGATGTTGCGGCGCGGGCGGCCGCTGAGCAAAGGGCTGCGGCGGTAGGTGACGCCCAGGCACACCCACGAGTTGGACACCTCGGCCTCCCAGTAGTGGCAGCCCTCGGCCAGGCCGCGCGAGCACAGGACCTGCGGCCACTGCTTGAAGCCCGGGAAGGGGCCGCCCCCGGCGTAGGGCTCCAGCAGGATGCCCAGGTTCAGCACCGAGTGGGTCTCCTTGAACAGGAACAGCTCCTCGCTGGCCGTGGCGGGGTCGAAATTCAGGTTGCAGTAACCTGGGCAGAGGCGGATGGGAAAGGGGTCCAAGGTCAGCGGCCCCAGGGCAGAGCTGGAGGAGGGAGGTGCGAAGCTCCATGGCTTTGGCATAGAAGCTGCCAAATGCTTCCACTCCCAGCTCTCAGGAGTGGCTCCCCTGTCCCCTCTCCCCCTTTAAGTCTCCAACTCTGGCCCAGGATGTGTGTGTGTGATGACATAGTCTGGAGGAATGATTAGTTGAGTGCTGTCCAAAGGTCTGCCTTTCTAGAGAAGTTGAGAACCAAGCATCCCCCTACCCGCCCCCCCGCAAACCCTAACATAAGCTTCCTTTTTGTTTGTTCAGGACACAAGATTCAGTGGGACTGAGGAAGAGTCAAGAGCTCCTAGAGGAGATTGCTCAGAAGGGTTCATTAAATGCAATACAACCTTGACCCTGGAGATCTCAGAGAAATCACTGACAATTTCTCAGAGAATCACTTGGCTCCTAGTCCAGCCTGGGAGAGGAGCTGCAGGAACATCACATGAAAAAGGAGGTTGTCTGAGGAAGAGATGGACAGGGTCATCCAAGCTGGCTTGGCTAAAGTCTGGGGGAGGCTGGCAGGCACCTAGTTGAAGGTACCACACCAGGGTCAGGAGAGATGCAGAGCTGGCCTCTGGGCAGTAGGCGGGACCTTGCCTACCTACTGGGGTGGGACAGGACAGTCTCCTCCCCTCCCTATCAGGCCTTGGAGTCACAGGCCGAATCCTTCTGAGGCCTCCAGTCCAGAGTGGGAAGCCAGGGCCGAGAGAGCTGGCATCTCTCTGGAGCCCTGACCTGAATGGAGGTATGACTGGGTAAGTCGAGGCACCCAAGAGCCCTGCTCCTTTCTTTCCCACCCCTGGGGCTGGACCCCAGTACTGAGGACTTACACTTGAGAAGTGTTTTCCTGTCCACAGCTGGGGGAAGCACTTCATATGAGTTCATCTTAATGCCTGGGGAAAATGGAGGGGCTTTGCTGAGGGTGCTTTCACAGCCCAGCATCCTTCCAGAGAGAGGCATGGGCTTCCAGGAGGCTGAGTCACCTGTGGAAGGTGCACACAGACAGGCAGGGCTCTCTACAAGTGCCGGGAATCCCAACCACTGCCCTATAGGGCAGTCCCACCCCCAGAATGCAGGTGAGTCTCCAGTGGCCCCAGGTCAGCATGTACTAACCCTTCAGGAGGAGCTGGTTGATGAAGCTGAGACCCATGTCCACCAGCCGAGTCCGGAGCTCCGCCAAGGTCTCTGGCAGCTGGAGGAAGCTCTGCTTCTCCTCACAGTTGGTGCCCATCAGGGGTTCCATGCAGGCCGGGAAGTGCTTCAGCCTGGGGAGCTCCTGTATGCAAGGAGGGGCCAGCAGTACCACGTGTTAGCCAGGGCCCAAGCAGATGCCAGGGGCTCCTGCTTATGCCAGGGGCTTAGTGGTCCCCAGAACCATGGGACAGGGGGAAAAGTTGTCCATTTTCAAACCTGGACATCTCTCTCCCCTCCTCCTAGATTTTTGGATGCCTTAGATTAGGGATGTCAAAGGCACAGCCATTGTGGCCTAGTGCAATAAGCAAAGCAAAGTTTTAGAAAAGGATGGGAGGGGGGTTTTTTTGAGCCTTTAATTGCTTAGTGAAAACCTTGCCAGATGCCTCCTTTTGTGCGTGGGGGACAAGGTGAGCAATAGCCCTAGAAATCTGCTCAGGGATGTGATGGCCGCTGAAGAATGAAGATCTGGGCTGGGAGTTCCCAAGCACAGGGTTTGGGCAGCCCCAGGCTCCACACATAGAGAAAGCTCCTGCCATCTCCCTCCCTGACCCCTATTCCCCAGCCTGGTACCCTTTTGCATCTGGGGAAGGAAAATGGATTTCACACCAGGCTGTATAGATTGTTCTGGTCTCACTTCCATCCCTGGCCTGGAGGAGTCTGGAGAAATTTAGGCTATTCAGATTCCCCAACTGTTCTGGGGAAACAAAGGCAGGAAAGTTAGGGGTAGGCTGAGTGCTGAGGTGGAGGAAGAAGCCACGGGTGCTGGTGTACACTCAGGACAGATGACCTAGGATAAACACAAACCCCAAACACTGGTTATTTTATCTAAGGTTTGGGCAGCTCGGGTGTGTCTGTGTCTGTGGGTGGAGGGGCAGTGGAGGCTGTGGCGGGCCTGGGGCAGAGGTGGCATGGGGTAGGGCCTTGCCTGCAGGAATTGCTGGTCGTTCCGGTTGGCGAGCAGGGTGCGGAGCCAGATGCTGTCCCCCTCCAGCTTCAGGAGCCGGTTGTGGCTCTGCTGGATGGAGCTGCCCAACTTCCCCAGGGCGGCTGCCTCTTCCTTCTCCACGAAATCCAAGACCTTCATCTGCAGCTGTTTGACCTCCTGGATGATCTCTGAGAAGCAGGTGTTCACCTCATCCCGAGTTGTCTGGATCAATTTCTGTGGGAGTGGGGGAGGATGGTGTGTAGAGCGGCATCTCTGAGCCCCACCCCAACACCCCACTATCACGGCACGGAGCCGTCCTAGGCATCCCATCTCTGTCTGCCTGGCCCCACAAGATCCAAGCCCTGAGAGCTCCCCTCAGCCTGATCCCCGGCGCTGGGGGAGCCTGGGCCAACCTTACCGAGAGAAAGGCCACCTGCCCCCGGTGCTTCTGGCTGTCGGAAGTGATGATCAGCATCTGGTTCTCCACATTGGCCTGGACCTTCCGAACCTCAACCTGGGGTGAGAGTAGGGGGTGGAGGAGGAGAGGGCCCCTGATTCAGAGAAGTGCCCTAGGAGAAATCCCTTCTGTAAGCAGCCCTGTGTCAAAGCGCAGGAGAGACACGCTTCTTACATTCCTAAGAGGTTTGAATGAAAATGATGAGCAGAGCGGAAGCCCAGGGTCCACCCCCTCTGCTCTTGGTCTCTCACTCCCTGAGGGACCCTCTCTCCATCCTTAGGAATCAGGCTTCACAGTGATGACCATAGGGTTTCAGATCATGAGATGTGTCTACGGAAGGGTTCAGTGGCTTGAGAGGCCTGGGAGGCAGTGGGGGGGAGGAGGGGCTCATCAGACATGGAGCCCTTGGCTCCCTGGAGCCGTGCTGCCAGGCCCAGGCAGCACTGTGTCCCCAGGTCATAAGCCTTTAGTCTCACCTGTTCCAGAGGTGGGAATTTTCTTGTTTTACAATATCTTACAGGACACTGCTATTCCAAGTGCCTGTCTATGAACTGTTGCTGACCCACAACAAAATAAGAAGCTCATGTTAGACTGTAAATCAACACATTGCTTCTTTTGTTGAGGAAGTCTTGCTGTGAAAAAAGTGTCAGCTGAAGGAAACTGATGAATTGGTTTACATTTCGGCATGATCTCCTTGTCTTGGCAGGGACCATCAACAGGGGCTATCCGTTATTGAATATACATGATAAAAAGTGTAGAATATAAGTATTCCATCATAGAAAGCAATACAAAGACAGCAAACAAAATTTGAAAATGGAGGAAAGGAGGGGATTTGCCCCACGTGTTTGTATTTTGATTATGTTCTCTTTTAGCCTTTCCTGTTTCTATGCAAAAGAATTTAAACAGGATTCATGACACACATTTCTGGATCCTTATTCATTCAACTTGCCAGCACTTTTTCATCTCATGGCATGACCCTTGTGACTATCCCTCTACTGGCTGCATCATTTTCCTCCAAGGAAAGGTGTGCCTGGGGCTTCGGAAAGACTTCCACTTGCCTTGTCAGACTCAGGACCATGAGCCCCGCCCCCCGCCCGGCGCGCGGCCTCACCTCCCTGCGGGCGCGCTCCTGCTCCAGCGGGGCGGTGTCGTGGTCCTTGTGCTCCTCCAGCAGGCAGGCCCCGCACACGCAGCAGCCTTCCGTGCGGCAGTACAGCCGCCGCAGCCTGCGGTGCTTCCGGCACAGCCGGCTCTTGAGATCCCACACGGGCTCCAACAGCTGGTGGCCCCGGAACACCTGGTCCTCAAAGTGGCTGCGCAGGTGCTTCTCGCACAGGGAGGCCATGCACTGCAGGCATGACTTGACCGACTTGAGCTTCTGGGGGGAACAGAAGTCGCAAGGCACGTCCCTGGGCCCGGCCAGGTTCCGTGAGGACCCCTTGGCCTGGGTGAAGCAGGTCACCATCTCCTCCAGGATGACATTCTTGCAGAGGCGGGGCCTGGAGGGGAAGCTCTCTCGGCACTGGGGGCAATAGAGTGTCTCGCCCACAGTAGCCTGGTGGTCCCAGCAACCTTGGAGGCACGTCATGCAGAAGTTGTGTCCGCAGGCAGTGGTGACCGGGTGGTGGAACACCTCCAGGCAGATGGGACAGAGGACTTGGTCCTCAAATGTGCAGAGACTGTTGTCATTATCCATCGGAAACTGACCTTGGGGAGGTCTTGAGGGCTGGGCAGGGGGCTGCAGGGCTGGGATGTGGTCCTGGACTGGCCCTGGGAAGATAGCAAAGCCATGCTGGAGCCAAGGCAGGAGCAGAGGGGCCTTTGAGGATTGGAGGGGCCGGTCCTTCTCTTGGAAGTGGCTCTCTGCTCATGGGGTACAGGGACTGTGCCATCAGTCAACCCACATAGGGGCAGAAATTGGGTATTGTGTTCTCCTTGTCCCAACCCTAATTCCTGGAACAAATCCTGGACAAGAAGGCGGGTGGGCAGAAAGAAGTCACATCATGACAGGGAAAGGAGCCACTTCCAACGCTCTTCAGGAGAAAGATCAAAGCATAAGCACTTACGTGAAACCCTCTGCATGTCAAGGAGAGCCAGAGACTTGGCTGCCCTGTGGAGGGAGGAAAAAGAGCCCTTGGGTACTCAGGTGCAGGGCCCTCACCCCTGGTTCCACCTCACCAGCTACTGGGAGGATCCCCACCCATCCGGTGTCCCCCTACCCCAGCTCTTTATGTCTCGAGGTCTGATGACCACCTCCTCACCTTTCCCTTTGGTTGCTGTTTTGTGGTCTCCCTATCAAGTTGGCCCCCCTCCTCAAGACTGCCCACAATGTTTGCTCCCTGATGTCACAATTCAAGTGTGACCAGCCCCAGCATCCTGCTTGTGATGTCAGCAGGGCAAAAGGTGTGCCACCGGACATGCTGCGGAGCTGATGGGTTCTGCCTCTTCCAGGACACTCTTTGCTCCAGAGCTCCCGGACTCAGCCCAGGAGGCGGAGTCACTGCTGCACCTGGGGCCCCTTGCAGTGGACTTGGGGGACTCGCGTTACCAACCAGAGAGGGAAAATGGCAATGAAGGGGCAGTGGGACGTGGGCAACTTGTTTAATCTCTCAGGACCATGGTTCTTCTCCTGTGAATCAACAGGGACGTTGTAGAAGATGATATTTCAAGGCCCCTGCTTGGTCTAAAGTTGAGTGATCCAAACATTATCTGATAGGAAACATTATCTGATTCTGAAGATTGTTGCTTCCCATTCTGGTTCTGATCCTCAGAAGGAAAAGGGATGAGTGAAGCCGTGATCACTTCTTGTCAGTCTGTTTCCCATTCTTCCCCATCTGACAGGATACATGCTCTGAAACATTTGCAACGTATCACTCTTTTGCTCCAAAAAAGTTAGCTTGGCCCTACTTATTGGATAGAAATGGAAAATCTTTTTCTCATTTTCACATCTCAGAGGAAATATTTTTAGCATTTCTCATTAAGTATGACATTTGCTGTAAGTTTTTTGCAGATCCCTGTATCAGACTATGTAGACTCCCTTTTTTTCCTGGTTTGCTAAGAGTTTTATCTGGAATGGATGCTGACTTTTGTCTAATTAATCTTCTGCATCTTTTGATATGATCATAAGCTTTGCCTCTTTTATTCTGCTGATGTGGTAAATTTATATTTATTGATTTTCAATTTTTCTTCTTTATTCACAAAAAAATGAAGTATAGTTGGGTTACTTGACTCTCAATTATTAAACCAACCTTGCATCCGGAATGAACTCTTCTTGGTCATAACAAGTTATGCTTTTTATATATATGCTATATTCCATTTACTAATAGTTTGTTAGGACTTTTACACCTATGTTCATGAATGAGATTGGCCTGTAATTTTCCTTTATCAAGTTCTGGAGTTAAGGCATGATAGCCTCATAAAACAAGTTGGGAACTGTTCTCATTCAGTTCTAAATATAATTTCTATTACGATTTCTTCTATGACTCATGAGTTATTTAGGAGCACGTTGCTCAAATTCCAAAAATACAGGTATTTTCTAATGATCATTTTTTATTGTTGATTTCTAACATGGTCAATGCTGGTAATTGTTCCGCATGCACTTCAAATTCAGAACGTGTATTCTGCAGCTGTTTGATGTCCTGCTTTATATATTTCAGTAATGACATTTGCCGATCATGCTGTTAAAATCATCTGTATGCCTATTGGGTTTTTGGTCTGTTTTAACTGAGATGTGACAAGATTCCTAGAATTACTGTGGATTTGCTTATTTCTCCTCTTAGTTCTATCAATTTTGAGGCTAGATCATTAGATGCACACAAATTTATAATTTTTCTGTTTTCCTAGTGAAAGGTAGTTTGACCATTATTGATTTTTTATTATTCCATGTTCCCCTTCCTGTTATTTTGGTAGTTAAACTTTTATTATTATTTTGGGGGTAGTTACCTGAGACATTATAACATGCATCCATGGCTTATCAAAGTCTAATAGAAAGTGTTATTTTAATCTTAGATAATGCAAACCCTTGGACTGCTTTCACTTCATTTATCTCATCCCAATGTTTACTATTGTGTGCTTTAATTCTCTTTATATATTTTAGAACTATAAAGTGCTAGTAATGCTTAAATGGTCAATATCTACATCCATCAATCCATGTATTTCCCCTTTTAATTGCTCTCCACTTCTTCCTATGTCTCTAGCTTCTGGGCTCATTTCCTTCTTCCCGAGGAACACCTTTCAGGATTTCCTTCAGTATAAGGTCTGCTGGTGACAAATACTTTCAGGTTTTTGGTTCTCAAAGTTGCTTTTATATCATCTTCATTCTTGAGAGATATTTTCACTGGGAATAGAATTCTAGGCTGGCAGCAACTGACTTTTCAGCACTTTGGAGAGTTAATTCTACTGTCTTCTGGAATGGCTTATATTTTTCTGTTGAGAAGCTGTCTTGATGGTTTTCCTTTGAAAGTAACCTGTCTTTTTTTCCCCCTTTACTGGTGACTTTTAAGATTTTCTCCCTACTTTATTTTCATTGGTTTTATTATTAGGTATGTTTTTATTTATCCTGCTCAGGATTTGTAGTGATTCTTGAATATATGGCTGCCTTTAAGTATCTTAGTGGGGCTTGATTTCGGCTCAGCATTTCCAGCCCTCTGCCTCTGTCCAGGTTTGGATGAACCTTCCACCGCTAGAGCCGCTGCTTGGCTGCTGCTCCTTTGCCTCCAGCATCCCCCCTCCCACTTGATGTTCTGCAGGACTCTGTGACTCAGCTTTGGTTGCCCAGTGCCCAGTACATTTCTGTGAAGCACATGGCAGCAAAGAAGTCGATGTTTGCTTGAATCCTTCCAGAAGTGAAAGAGCTGAGCAACACAGGCTAACCATCCTTCCGCACCTGCCCAAAACCACACCCCTCCCCAACTTCAGGGTCTAGTTCAAGAACTCTGCGGAGCCTTTCAAAACCTCCCCCACCCCAAATATGTGCTTATTGGCTACCCATCATCATTGTGCAAAGTAGGGTATGCTTTGAAGATGTTTTGCTCTTTGATTTGCCAACTGTGTAGACGATGCACGTGCAAAGGTTATCAGAATGAAATGTGAGTAGAAGCAATAGCCCAAACTCAGACATAAAGAAACTCAAGACTATCCAAGGGAACTTTCTCACAATTTTCTTACAGGAAAGCTAAGAAATACAAACTACTAGTCTATCCATTTTGTAAATGTTTTGCTTGAAATAATTAACAGAAAACTGACATGTTAAAAAGACTCAAATTTAAATATGAGACTTAGATTTTGAGCTGCTAAATTTGACTTGAAAATAAACACAGAGGAGGTAACAGCCATAAAAGAAAGCCCACAAGGGAAAAAGCTAGATCTGGGTTAAATTGAATTAAATTTCCACCATAAGATATCACAGAAAACAATGATCTTAATGAAAACATTTTAAAGTAAAACTGATAATAGAAAAATTTGCAACAGTGGGAAGAGTATAGCTCAGTGGTAGAGCACATGGTTAGCATACATGAGGTTCTGGGTTCAATCCCGAGTACCTCCATTAAAATAAATGAATAAATAAATAAATAACCTTAATTACCTCCCCTCCTCTCCCCGAAAGAAAACTTTGCAACATTTTATATAATTTTGTAACAATTTTGCAGTGTATAAAAAACTAAGGAATTAAACTGGCTTAACAGAGTAACACCAGTTCACCCCAGGGGAAAGCTTCACTGATGAAAACCTTTCTGCGTGGTATGATTCTCATTAGAAATTTAGCTCTGAGCTGCCACCTGGACTTTGAGCAGATTTAGTGATACTTAAACGATCTGTTGTAAACGATGCCGTATGGAGCCGCCAGGAAGCCCCAACGGGAGAATCACCGTGCAGAACTCCAGGGTTTTGGAACAGACCCACGACTCCTTTTACAGAGAACTCTTCCCCTTTTGAGAAACAGCCCCTTCTACCTAACCATGGGAAATCAAGTGACCATGTGGCCTGAGCTGTCCATCAGGAACTGGGTGTTGTCTAACTCACCAAGCCAATTTGAGGAGTAATTAACCTAGCCCAGAAATAGATGTGACTGTTTTTCAGACCTGGGAACAATGGCTTTTTGCACAGGGTCTCATGTTGGGGGGAGGCTAAGAGCATCTTTGTGTAAAGAGTAGCTGTATCTTGTTACATGGAGACAAAGTTGTTTTTACCATTGCATGATGTTCAAATGTGCATAGAAGCACGCTTATGGATGCTGAGTGGCCACAGAGGTGGCAGAGCTGGTAATTATCTCCCAGCCCCGTCCCACCCTCCAGGCTGCCCTGTGCTGCTGGGGCTGGGAAGCTGCTGCAGGGAACTTGAGAGAGACTACAAGGCTAGAGGAAAAACAGAAGAGATGTGCTCCTTCCTGGTACCAGAGAAACCACAGCTCCGCTCGGGCAGCAATGGCTGGTTCCAGCAGCTGGTTCGTTGGCAGTTTCCCACTGTCCCAGAACCAGCCTCGTCGAGTTCCGAGACGGCAGTGTCTCCAATCCAAGGCCCCTCCTCTGAGCCTCTTCCCTTTGCTTCCCAGTTCTGGGAGCAATAACTGTGTCCTGTGATCACTACCGCTGTGACACCCCTGTCCCCTGGGCCCTTTCCTCTCTCCACCTGTTAGCAACTGCCATGCTCTCCGCCTCTCGTTGGAGCTGTTATAGCCCCATACCTTGTTCACTAACTTTGGGTGTACACGCCATGTCGTAAGCACCCTATGGGAGGGACGGCCTAACGCGTTCTGAGGATCCTACACCCCGCAGGATGCCTTAGTGTTCAGTACTTCACTTGTTGCTTACTTGACTCTCACCTCATATCCTCGTTACTTCTTACTTATCCTCTTCCCTGCAGAGAAAACGGGCATAGATTCTCTTCTAGGAGGATTTTTTCCCTTAAAAACCATCTTATACTCCTCTCCCCATCTCCTTCTGGCTCTCCTGTGGGAAGCCCATCTGTCCCCACCATCTGTTCCCTGACACTCTCTGGGTCCTTTCAGATTCAGTAAAACGAAAGCCAGGAGGAAGAAGGCCCAGCACCCCCTCGGGCAGTATCACAGCAGAAGTGAGGACTTTGTAAGAAGCTCCGCTAGAAAAATAGAAAAGGTGCAGTGAAATTCATCTCCTGAGAACAGCTGAAGAATCATCACTAGATAGTGACAGCAGAAACCAAGGAGGCTGCCGAACTAGAAAACATACACCAAAGGTTTCAAGATTCAGAATTTTGTTTCATCTCTTTATTGACAGGAAAAAAAAAAAGGGTCACAGCATGTCAGACTTTAACACACAAATGGTCAACAAAGGGCACGCACAAGTGACAGGCATGGTCCCTAAGGTCTGGGTCAAAGGCCATGCTGGAGGGTGCGGGTGACTTCTCAGCCCTATTCCCTCAGCATCTGTCTGTCCCTGCCTCCTCTGCACCCCACTGACACCCCTGAGATCAGTAACAACTGTACAGAGATGGAGTCACTCCAGAGGAGGCTGGGCCCTGCCTCACTGCCAAGAAAGGGCAGGCTCTGAGGAAAAGACAGATGCGTGTTACTGTGTCGTCACTTAGGAGACGCCAGGCCGCTCCACAGGCCTGGCCTGCACCGCCTGCGGCCTCGGACCTGGGCAGATAGTGAGGCAGGGAGATGCTCTGCACGTGGCTGCACTGGGCAGCTGGGAAGTGTGGGTCACTGGTCACGGGATACCCCCAAGCCAATGGCCAGACCTCTCTCTGGAGCTATCAGCCAGACTCTCCTGGAGGGAGAAGGCTTCCAAGAAAAAACACCAACTTGGTTCATAAAGGGCTTGGGTACAATACTTTTCCAGAAGCCTTAAGAAACAAATCCTCCTCAGATTTCTGGAGCACTGGAACAACTGAAACCGTCATCGGGTTGCCATGAGGAGGGGAGCCTGGTGAAAGAAGCCCTCTAGGAGAGCAGAGACCGCCCGTTTCTCAGAGCACTCAGCAAGGGGCTCACAGTCTTTCCACAGGGCCCACTGTGGACCTCCAGGAAACACGCTGGAACTCATAGTGCATTCTGGTGGCTGGCCCACAGCTGCCCTGCAGCCCTCCTGGCTCCTCCCCACTGGCATGGACCAGAGGATGAGTATAAGGCGAGCTCCAGGAAAGCAGATCTGACTGGGCACGAGGTCCCGGATGAAGCTGCTTTTCCTCCTTTCAGTCTGATGTTACTTACTCAAATTGGCCAAAGAGCACCTCACCCATCATCCTCTGTCCTGCTCTGGTCAGAGCAGCTTTTCCTTGACACACTCAAAACTTTTTTTTTTTCCTGAAAGATGACAGAATGGATGCCGGTCACCTTTCTGAAGGGGCAACTGCTTTTTTCATAGGTAGAGGTGCCTCTAACATCACAGCTGTAAAAGTCTTGGGCACTGGCCAGACTGCAGGGCCGACACGCACGTTCACACTGGTACACGGGCACCCTGTGCACACATTTCTCTCCTGCTCCACACACAGAGGATTAAGGTCAGTGTGAGACCCCTGGAGAGGAGCTATGTCATCTGGGCAGGAGTAGGTCGTCGGCTCAAAAGACAATTGCCACAGTCGATAGTCATTTCCAAAAAACTATGACCCCAGACCTACCGAGTGAGCAGCTGAGCTGTGGAGCAGAGAGAATGAACCTGAGCTCCTAAGGTGCCCAGGAGCCACGGGCTTGAGGGGGCATTTATGGATGGAGCAACCCCCAGGGGCACTGTCCCCTGCTCCAGACCACTGGCCACACTATGAGAGTCATCTGGGGAAAAACAAGGATCCTCTGGCCCCTTGGCATTCCATGACCGCTCACCCAGACGCAAAAGCCCAGAGAGCAGGTCCAGTTCTGAGGAGGCTTTGCTCCTTGGCACTCCACAGAAAGAAGTGACGGTGAGGGCTGGGGTCAGAGATGCAGGCATCCTCAGGTCGCCCAGCAAACGCACACACACTGCGGGGGATGGTGTGGGGTCACTGACACTGCGGCAACGCAGGCCTGCCAAGGTTAGAAGTCAGGAAGACACATAAACAAATGTCACGCTTCCGGTCAAGGCCATTTCCAAGGGACGATCACAGAAATGACAACACTTTTGGATACTACAACATAACATATTTGGCAACTTTCAAAGAAACAGCTGTCCCTACCCCAAGCGATCAACAGAGGGTCCAAAGTCCCTTTATCCTCGGCCGAGTTTAAAAAGTCAGGGAAGGAAGATGGGCCAAAGGAGGGCAAGAAAAGGCTGCAGAAGCAGTTACACCAATGACCTAAAGCTCCTGTCTGCCTGCCTGCCTGATTCAGTGCAGGATGCTGCCTGCCTCGAACCTCTTCTCAGGGAGAAAGCAAGCCATCTGGAGGGTCCAGGCTGCTGGAGACAAATGAGGCAAAGCTGAACATGGTAGCAGCTGGGTGCCCTGAATCCAGAGCTGCCACCCCCAATCTCCAACCACAACCAAGGACACCCCATCCTCCCCCTCCTCAAGGAGGCTTTGCTCATAGGAATGTGGAGTACTCTGGCAACTGTATCCTTTATCCAAACCTCAATTCAAGCAACTGAAACTAGAATCCTTTGCATCTGCTGCATTATTTGGGGGTGCACAGGAGGAAAAAGATGGTGTTACAAAGCGGCTGCAACATTCAACGTGGCACACTCAGGTGAAAACATGGCACGGCTCAGGGACAGTCTCTTTTGTCCACTCCAGCCTCCTTGAAGTACAGCATGTGCAAGGAGCTGGGCCTTCCTCTTCCCCTCTCCCAGATCCCCAGAAGGGCTCCAACTGGGAACCCAACCCAGCTGCTCTTGTAAAGATTTTTATAACACTGGCTAAGAAAACAAAAGCAGGTTTCTGAGAAGGTATTCTGCAGCCAGGAGCTGCGTGTCTTCAGGTTCCTGTGGGTGGGGGTGGGATTCCTTTGGTTTTGACCAGAACACTTCTCCACTGGGGGGGCCAGGCTCAGCTTTGCTTCGCAGTAGCTCGGTTACTGTACAGGAGCGAGATTTAACTTCACAGAGGTGCTCTGCTGTGTTGCTCTCTTGACAATTTAGTATTCTGGAGTTTACATCCGAGATCCTCTCTCCTGAAGAATCTGGAAGGGGAAGGTGGGGGAGAGGCCTGAGGCTTGGACCCTGGATGCAGACCGTGTTTAGGCTGGGGTTGCTTACCAGACTGCTGAGGGAACAGAAAGAGATTCGGAGCTGCTTTCCACTGGACCCCACCGAGCAGCACAACAATCCCTGTTACCCCAGGAAGCAGGGTAACCTCCCCTGAAGCACTTCAGTTGCAAAAAACTCTTGCTGAAAGTGGCTGGGCCTGAAGTTTATGTGCTGCTGGACCACTTCGCCCATGCTGAAGGACACGGTTCAAGCTCATCACATACTGATGATTTAGAAGCATGTGTGGGTGTGTGTGTATGAGGGAGCACAGTGGAAGAAGAAAAGGTAACAGTGTACAGAAATTTTCCAGTAACTTAAGGGGGCAAGGGGGGAATCACAAAGGTAACCAAATATCTTTTCTCTTGAGGTAGCAAAAAAAGAGAACAATTTCAAAAAATAAAGGCAAAATACTTTCTGATTTTCAGTTTCAGAATCCTCACCTTATAGTAATTAGTGGCCATAAGCTTTTCTGTTTCATTGATTTGACAGGGGCTGGGACGAGACTGCCCTATTTCAGTTCACGTGTCCTAAGTGAAAACCTGTCATTGCTCCAAAAATCCTGAATTCAATTACAACAGTCAAAAGGCCAAAATGAAGGGGAAATGTAAAGCTGGCTTGAAAAGGAAAGGGAAGAAACAGCGAGCAAAAGTTCAGGCAAGGCCCGTGCAGGGGCTGGGAACAGTCGGAGACAAAATTCAGGCGAAGTGACTTACCTTTGCCTTTTCACTCGGCTCTATGACGATACCATTGGTAGAATTATTTAGTTCTCTGGAGACAACACAGAGGAATTCTGCCTGGTCCTCATTTCCATAGTTATAGGAAGATCCGATGCTGATTAGCTGATAAAACGAGAATATGGTGAACACACAAATGGTATCTCAAAATACTAAAGTGTCACACAAACCAAGCCCTCCTCCTGATTGAAATTTGTAGTTTTGCTTCTCAAAGGATGAAGAAGTCTCTGGACCCTTCACAGCCTTGGGGGATAACGGGATCCCACTCACTCATCAGGGCGTCATGGACAAGGTTTCCCCGAAGAAGAAAAGTGTGAGTTCTGGACCTGTCTCCCTTGCCCAGGCACTTGAAACAAGGCTAAAGGCAGCAGCCAGGATTACCACGATCACCTTCTCTCAGGCAAATGCTGAGGGGAAACAGAATGTTTCTGTGAATGAAAATAGACACCTGTTTCAGCCAGAACACCTACAAAGAGCTGGCTCATCTTTAGGCAGAAGTCCTAGCTAGGAGGCCAGCACTCGGGAGGCTCTGGGAAGCACCAAGCAAGTCCCTGAAGAGCTACCATAGGTCAAATGCTGCTGGTACTTCTAATCTTTTTGGAAAATTGAATTCAAGATCTCGTCTAAGTAGGAAATCCACACGCAGAAGGAGACTCTGAGCTGGAGGGTGAGGTCATCCGGCAAGTCTGTAAGGCCTCATGTCGGGAGACCACGACCGAGTTGCCCTATGACCAGGCTGCGGACACCTCAGTCTTCCTGCACCTTAACTTCCTCATCCATGTAATGGAGTCAGTGGGAGCACACCGCGTCCTCCCACAGGACATTCATAAGTTGAAAAAAAAAAAGTTATTCATTAGTTTCACAAAGAATACTTAAAGTTTTTAAAATATCCTTTGCTTAAAACTTTGCACCAGGGAAAATAACTTCTGGAGTGGAAGTATGGCAGCATTTTGCA